CAGAGGGTGAATTAGCTCTGGTTTTCCTGTAACACAGTAGCAGGATTATTGGTTAGAATAATCTTTGATATATTTCAAAATGACTAAAAGAGTATGAAATTCCTATCCCATGAAAAAGAGATGGAAGTGTTTATCATCGATCATATCAGGATGATATGATTATCACACATTGTGTACATGTATCAAATTAACCAAAATATGCCCTGTGAATATACACATATTATGTCTCAATTCAAGAAAAAATAAACCGAAAAAGGTAAATGATGTGCTGCTATTTAATCAATTTTTGAATGAGTGTATGAAGCCCTGATATAATTCTATTTATCTCTGCTTAAGAATACCTTGAATAGAATATTATCTTGAGCCACAAAAATCCTAGGATTGTATAAAAGCTTTCACTTGGATTTAACATGTTATCAATAAATTCTATCTGTAGAAGGTGATAGTTATTCAAGCATAATTAATAATAAATTCATTGATTTAATATGCCTGTTACAGTTATATTGACTTTAAAGGATTGTATTTTACAGAGTCATTTCATTTACCATCTTTAAGAGATTAAAATTTATAAAAACTAACTTTTCCAATATTTGATGTCAATTGTCATTCTATATTGACAACATTAATTAGATTTCCTGTTGAGTTCAGTCTTCTAGTACATAATATATCAAAAGGTCTATTAGTTATAATTTAGCTTCTTGTCACAAATGTTTTCAGAAAGCTGTTGTAGCAGGGGTAATAGTAGTTAAAGGTGTTCAGTGTTCTTAATCCATCTCATACAATGGTTTTGTGCTTCTCAAAATAAAAAACCATTTTTCCCTTGCTCAGACCCTTTGAGTTCACTGAGTTTTGACTGTAGGACTCCTAGGTTGAGTATAATTATTATGATTACATTAATAATAAAAGAGTTTTGTGAATTTCAGACGGTGAATTCAGAGTGTGATTAACCCATTACTGGGAGGATTCATGACACTCATTGTGCAAAGCATGAAGCATGTGTCTGAAAGCCAAATGATTGAGCACAATTGACAAAGATGTTTACCCAGGAGGATTTGTGTGTTAAACTTACTTTGAAGTTCACGTGAAAGGATTGTTCAGTGAACTTGAGAAAAAAAAAATCCTGTTGTAGAGTTAAAAGATGGTAGAAGAGTAACAGGTTGGGAAAGTAGCTGAAAACTTTCTTGATGTGATTAAACCAACTCAAACAGTAAATTAAACATGTTTTTTGGTTAATGGTGAAAAATGGTTTTTTTAGTGGTTCTGATTGAAAACATGAATTAACTAGTCTTATCACGTTTCAGAGAGAACTTTATATGCCAATAATTGTAAGTGAACTGGAGAAACTGTTTGAAAGTATGACATGATTTTCATAACAGTGCTAAAATAATTTAAAACATTATTTATTAAGCTACAAATGATATTTATTGCCTGTCTTCATACAGTTTCATAATTATGAAACAGTTGCTTTGTTGGTTTTATATAGTCTAAGTTGAAGAATATTTATGTGTTCTTTCTTTGCAATTGAAAACAAGGAAATAATCCTCAAGAAAAGAATAATTGAGAATATCTTCTGAAAATTCCCAGTGGGGCTGGGGGTATATACAGCTCAGTGACGGAGCACATTCTTAGCACACATGAGACCCTGGCTGAAACTACAGCTGAGGTTCCATACCTCACACCAAAAATAATTCTCAGTGGACTGCACTGGAGAACCTAGCCTTATCTAAATGAACTTAAGTGATTGATGTTTGGTGGTCCTGTGGACAGGTGAGAACTTACTGTTTAAGCATGGAGGAATTTTGGATTGGGCAAAGGGGAGGGCAGGGAGGGTTTATGAGAATAAGAAAGATGGTGGAATCAATGGACATCATTACCCTACGAACATGTATGATTGCATGAATGGTGCATCTCTATACTGTACAACGAGAGAGTTGAAACGTTGTACTCCATTTGTGTACAATGAATTGAAATGCATTCTGCTGTCATATACAACTAAGTAGAACAAAGAATAAATAAATAAATATTTAAAAAGAAAGAAAGTGAATGTGTAAGCCAGAGAGTAGAAAGAAATTTGCAATCCATATCTTGTTCATATATGTACTTAGATATTTATGAATATATTCATATATATGAAAATACGTATACATATATATGAACTCCTGTAAGTCAGTAAGAAAAAGACCACCCAATAGAAAATGAACTTCACAAAAGAGGCTCTACAAAATATCGAAAGACTTATGAAAACATGTTTGCCTCATTTGAAGAAGACAAATGCAAATACATACTATTTGGAGATGTTACTGTATGCCCATGAGGATAGCTTAAAAAATAACAACATGACAGTATAAACAGGAATATATATCATGAATAATTACCATACACTTCTGGAAGGAGTATAAATTGATAACAGTCTTCTGACAGATATGGTCTGCTTCTACTGCTGATAATAACCTGACATAACCTATTAAAGATGAGCAAACAAACAAAAAAGAATAAATGGGTTTACTGCCATGCTGTTTTGTTAAGTATGTTCTGGACCTTTGCTTTTAAACCTGCCTCTCTAAGTACTAATTGCAACATATTCATAGGGTACTTTCCTGTTTCTCTACTCATCTAATTTTCACAAGTTTGGGGATTCTGCTCCTTTAGTGAAATTATTGGGGCTCTTGATCACCCAGTGTTAAGAAAGAACTGAAAATTCAACATTTGGTAACCAAAGATTAAAGCAGTTTTAATGATAGGAACATAAAGATGAAATAAATATCCCAGAAATTAGAACAATAAAAGAATATTTGGGAATTAATCCAGGAAGCTCAATACCCAATTAATAATGATTTCCAGAAGTAATAGGCAGAAAATTATAAAGAAGGAATTCAGGAAAATATGTGTACTTCCCAATTGAAAGGTCTTGGCAGACATGGGCACATTTGTTGTTTATTCTGTGTTCCTTCAGTATCTACTTGAACAGGCGTTGTTAAAGGCAGGAGGACTGCACAAATGAGGTAGGCCAATAGTCTGTGCCATCATGGAGTTTACATTTTGTTGGAATTACTCTGGAATTTAAAAATAGCTCATACTAACACATTTCATTGTGAAATTTCAGAATACCATGGATAAAAGGAAGATAGTAAAAATTTCCACAAGGGAAAAAAGTCAGGTTGTATTTAAAGAATCAGGAATCAAACAGAATTGATCTTCTCAATAGTAAAGCTCTGTGCTGTTCTTGAGAACAAATGAGTGCCAGCCACTAGTTGTATGCCCAGCCAAATAATTACATGTGAGAATAGAACTAAAACATTTTAGATAGACCAGAAATATAAAAATATTTAGCCACTGGGGATGTGCTTCACAAATAATGAAGGAGTGAAATTTTAATGATAGGAAAGAGGCAGACAACGATGAGATGTAGGAAATGAGACCTAACACAGGAAGAAAGCAAAGGGAATTCTGGGAAGTCTGGAGGGCATGCAGCTCTCTCATGGTCCTAGGGATCGGGACACCCAAATGGAGAGAGGCAGAGGCCTCTGGATGAAATGGCCATTTGTGAGGGGTGTGGGGACAAAAGGACTCACTCACTGGTTAACTACCTTGTGGGTTTCTGTACAGAGACGGTTTATAGTTGTATCAGAAGGTTTAGGAATAATTTAGTAATAGGAAGATAGCTAATTGACAATTAACAAAGTAATAGTTTCAGCAGAAATAGAGTTATCAAGAAAGAAAATACACTGATGATATACTACAGACACAGCTGTGAACTTTAAGTCATAGTCATAACCATGGAAACAGGGAATTTTTAAAAACCGGTATACTAGCAGGATAGGGAAGGGGGAGTCTGTGAGTAAGCTGGTTGCACCTTGCAAAGTAGGAAATCAAAAATAGCACGTCAAGCCAGATGCTGTGGTGCAGGCCTATAATCCCAGCTGCTCAGGAGGCTGAGACGGGAAGATTTCAAGTTGAAAGCTAGACTCATCAATTTAGTGGGTGGCAATTTAGCAACTTAGTGAGACCCCGTCTCAAAACAAAATACACAAAGGGCTGGGGATGTGGCTCAGTGGTAAGGTGTTCATGGGTTCAATTCCTGGTACCAAATAATAATAATAACATGTCATTGAAAAATCAAGAAAGAGATTAACTGGTAGGTTGTGTGACATTGAAACAACCTGTCAAGGAATTCTGTGTAATTTTCACCCCAGTATGACTTGAGGCACAGGATAAAAAGCCATAATTCAGGAATGTGGCCTTCCAGGGTCTTTGGCTAATAACTTCCACAGCAGACAAAATCTCTGGGGGAGGTGGGATGGTCCCTCATGGAGCCATCCAGGGCTTCTGAGGGCAAGCTGGTTTCAACAGATCCCTGTGAAGGGCTCCCCTTGGGCTACAAGGACAGCATCATGCCTTTGTTTTAATTTATAAGGCGCTGATCTCTGTCCTCATTTGAGATGGATTAGAGTGTGGCATAAGTCTGGTCCCAATTTCTGGCATTTTGTGACCTTGGACAAGTGAAGTCACATTTTAGTTTTCCCATCTGTAAAATGGAGATAATACTACTACCTCCTTCCTAAGGTGGTTTTGAAGTGTAAATCAGTTAAGATGTGTCAAGTCTTTCAAAATAGTTGATGGAACACAGTAGACATACTGTGGTATCTGGTTTATTTTTACCTGCCTTTGTTGACCTTTGTGGTGGTTGCTGCTGCTGTTGCTGCTGCTGCTGCTGCTTCTTATTCTGTGCTATTACTATTGTGGTATTTTCTTTATCCAATTCTATCAATAATTTAGAAGTGGTTCTTTGAAGTATAAAAAAGAGTGACAAAAATAAGAATTAAATACTACTACAGCTCAAAATAACATTATAAACAGATAGTGAACAGAGACCCAGAGTAAGTATAGACTGTGAATCTTGAGTGTCCAGGGACCAGTGAATCTGCCAGATTGATCATTTCACTCAAGTAACTGAAAAAGGAAAATCGTAAGTAGAAAGTACCACAGTGACTCTCTGAAAATTGAATTTTACTTGGCAGGTGATTTATTTGTGCATAGTCTCCAGTGCTTTCTCTGTTATGAAACTTTGTCAAATAGTGGTATGAAACCCTGAATGCTTTTGAGTCATTTTCAGGCAAAGTACAGCAGTCTCTCTAGTAAACCAGTTGAGTTGTCCCAGATCAAGTTCAAAATAGTATTTTCCAGGGTGAAACTGATTAATTCTGTCGCTGAGGGCCCAGAACAGAACAAAGTCTCAAAGGCATCATTCAAAGTTACATTCCTCATGGCAAAAGCAGATTTGCTGAGAAGTTTGCGACATCAACCCCAAAGCTGATGGCAAACATATTTAAAGGGAAAGAAGAAGTTTTTGGCAGAATCCTTTATCAAATACTGTTATTGCCTGTCATGTATGTCAGTGGTGTGCATTATGAAGAGCAATCATTTGTGTGAATGACTGTTTCACTTTTTAGTTTTGTTGAAATCACTTGTGTGGAGGGTATGCATCTGCCTTTGGCATATGTCTGGTGATACATATGAGGGAGAAGTCTTCATTGACTTTTCATGTGGTTTGTCATTGAAAACCTTTACTTGTTTTGTTGGCTCCCCTATTGCTGGGGAAGTTCCTTGACATTCCCAGCAACAGGCACCAGCTGAGAACTAACTCAAGGAAGCTGCTGCTCGGGGAATTCTCATCCACACCCCACTTCTCCACAGAGATGGTGATGAAAGCTCCCTTGAAGACCGCGTTTCCACTGGGCTGTATGAATTTCTCAGCAAGTAGATACCTTAGCTCTCCTATGTTGAGTTTTGCTAGCTGATGAGGAAATCTTTTTCCAAGAAGGTATGAAATATTTCTTCATGGTCCTGATGCAAGTAAAGAGCATTTCTGTGACATTGGATGGCTTAATCCAATGACATAGTGTGTACTTTTATCTTCTCCCACTGAATCTGTCTCTTCCTGGTCAGAAATAAGATAATGAGAATTTATAAGAACTGCATGATGATGCTGATGACTGAATCACTAAGAATTGATTCTTTACTAGCCTGTTCTGATTTTCACTGGGAAGTGGGTGATAGTTGGCTATGTTAAAAAAAAAAAAAATATATATATATATATATATATATGAGGCAAATAACTACATGATTGAGGTATCATGTACTTCAAGCACTATTCATCTCTTTCCCAAGTTGAAACGTTCCATCTCCCACCTTTTAAGGATAACTTAGGTTCTGGTAGATACCAAAGGAAGCCTTTTAATAAGACTTACAAAATATTTGGGTTTATTCTTTCTGTGTTTGTTGCGGGGGCGGGGGGGTGCAGTACCAGGCATTGAACTCAGGGGCACTGGATCACTGAGTCACATCCCCAGCCCTATTTTATATTTTATTTAGAGAAAGAGTTTCACTGAGTTGCTTAGCACCTCGCTTTTGCTGAGGCTGGCTTTGAACGTGTGATCCTCCTGCCTCAGCCCCCTGAGTGGCTAGGATTACAGGAGTGAGCCACGCACCCAGCATCTGGATTCATTCTTGATGCAAATATTTAATGCTACCTACCAAAAATCTTGATGCTACCTACCAGAAATTGTAACAAGTCCCAGCAGTCTGTACAGTACAATGGATTATAGTCTTCCAATTGTTTAAATTAAAATGTATTAATTGGCTTAAATATGGAGATAGGCTATTGCTAAAGGTAATCATGTCTTGAACACAGATGAGAGATTGTGCTGAATATTTGTAATTTTAAAATATTACATGTTACCAGTATTTAAAAATTAGAGTGAACATTTAAAAACTATTGGTTACAGTAAAATCATCATACCAAGTGAGTGAATTCATAGTTGGCAAAAGTTTGGAATGTATTGCCTCAGGAGTTGGAGAGTTATTATTCTGGTTTGATGTTTATGTGTCTGATGTTTATGTGACTCCATACAGGTAAATTGTCTTCCTTTGGGAACTATTTCTTCGTCTATAAAAATGAGAATAGCTAGACAGTTTCCCATATCAAAATGGCAGTTCTTACTAAACCAGTAGACATTTTCAACTGAACAGCTTCTCTGAATGTCATAGGTCCTGTAAATCTTTGTTACAGGAGACCTTAGAAGCAATCTAGACAGCCCTTCCTTGGTAAGTGAGAATTCCTCCGCAGCACACCTGGTGTAGTCTCGGAGCTTCCCCTGTAGGGCAAGCAGAGGATGTGAAGCTTTCTGTGACTTGGGAGGGATGGAAGTCCCATGCTAGGCAACTCGGAATCATTTTCAACAGCTGCAACTCAGATATTTATTTGTACCCAGATCTGTTTGTCTCTCCCTATAATGTTTATGTATTTATTTCAATTCTGTCCATCTACGCCAGACTGAAAAAGATAAAATTTTCTTTTATATTAATATCTTCTAATTATTTAAGTTAGCTACTAATCCTCTGCTGTTCTAGGGCAGAGTGCTGTAGTTATTTCAACAGCTCCTCCTGTGTTTCTAATCTCCTGTCCTGGCCCCTTTGTGCCTCTTCAGAGTACCCTTCAGGACAAATGTGGTCTATCTATATAGATCAGTGATTTTTTGTTCTGTAAAAAACACTGTTTACTAAGATAGACCAGTCATGTGCCAGGACCTTCAGGCTTGGCCCAGGCTTGTCTTATTTTATTTCAACAACTTTGCCAGAAAGTTTGATTATCTGTAGTGTACTGATATGAAAACTAAGACTCAGATATTAAGTTAATTGCTCAAGATAGCTAACCCAGGAAGTAGCACAACTGTGACTTCTGTTCCTTTTAATTATAGCATCACACCATTGACTCATATTGTGCAGTCATTCTCATACATGCCACCTAGTCACATTGCCTTTGTTGGATTTTAAAAGTATTACATTCTTCTTAGAATCTTTAAATATACAGAATTATGTAAGAAAACCCTTCCTTACCCCAGTAGCTATGCTGGTAGTGTAACGTGTGTTTGTCTTTTACATTCTTGTCCTACCACTTACTTTCAGAACCTGAACAAAATGGAAGCATGAAACTATAACTGTTTTATTAGAAGAAATGAATGAGTTAATAAAGTACCTGCCAAACAGTCCTTGGTACATAGTAAGAGCTCAAATATTGCTATTGCATACACAAATGAACAAAGTACATGCATAATGTGTGTGCGAAAATAAGCACACATACTTAAGTGGAATTCAAAGCAAATACAGTAGGAACAGTCTGTTTATAATGTCCTCAACCTTCTTTTATCACCCAAAATTTAATTCAGTTCACTGTAGTACTTTTTTTCTTTTTTGCAATTATAAGGTGTATACCATACCCCTTAATTTCCTTATTGATGGATGTTTAGGTTCTGTCCATGCTATAATAAGTAATGATTCAGGATATCATCTTGAAGTGCATCTTTATTCTTGAGAACTGATTTTCTGAACCTACACTGAGAAATTTACATTTATCTCTTAAAAATGGTTTGTCTTTTTATATTTGGCATGCTTTCATAATATATTGTCACCAAACATATTTTGACCATGTTATCCAGTGGATTCACTGGGTTTGGTTTTACTTCATTTTTTTAAGTGGTGATCAGTCTATTCTCCTTAACATCTTAAAAATCATGGCTTTAAAAAGGTTGAATTCAGCAATTTAGGACAGAATTCTGTAGTTGCCACCAGAGGGCTCCTGTTATGTTGCAACTGATCTTTTAGGAGTAATCATTCACCAAGGTGTAAATCTACTTGGGATATTACCTTATAATTGTATTTCTCCAAGTGTGTGTACAGACTTGTCATAACAGACTCGACAGGTGCCTTCATGGGATTTTGTTAAGGTTGTCATTTAATGAGCAGTCTTTGCTCTCCCTCATCTGGAAGAATGTTACTGTACTCTATATTTGGAAAAGCTTGAAATATAAATGACAGACGTCTATTCTTTGGGAAATGTTTGAAAAAAAAATCTAAATTTTCCAATTTTGTTGCCCAAAAAATGAAAAAAAAAAAGTGTAAATGCTATTTTGCTTCCATTAGGCTAGCTGCCATATAACTGGCACCAGTATTGATGTTCCACTTGGAAATTTTTTAGCAAGATCAGATGTAATATCATCATCAGTTAAAATATATTTCCAGATTACTGGATTGGTTGAAACCATTAAAATTGTTGCATATATGTGAAGTAAAATACAAAAATAATTTTCAGTGTCTACTATGCTAACATGAAAAAGAGCCAACTAAGAATGTGGCATCATCACTGAACGTAGTAAGTAAGCTTTGGTTAGGTTTTTATTTATTCCTTAACTTCTTAAGGTTTTAGAGATTAGAGCAACCATCTCATTTGAACCTTTCAAGAACTCTGAAGTGACAGAGTACAGATGGTTATTATCCTTTTTTTAATTGAAAGGATTGAAGCACAGAGTAATTTTAAAACTGCCCAGAGAAAGGAGGGTGATGCATTCTGATCATCTGGAGAATCTTGGAAAGAGTTGTCACATAAGAGGTTGTCATCAACCAAGATTTCATATTTTGTTAAGTGAGAGCATGACAAGAGGCATCTGGCTGAACAATGGAGTGCTTGGGAAGTGGAAGGAAGGCATGTGGCTGGCATGCCATGGGAGGCTGGGCTGAGAGGGTGAGGCCAGTAGGCAAAATCATAGAGGCCTCAAAGCCATGCTCCAGAGTGTGGCCTTCAGTCTGTAACCTGGACAAGTAAGGGGAGGAAGGGGAACAACACTAATCAGACTGTAGAGTGGATACCATGAGGATTGCTCTGCTGCTTCTCACCCCTAGGCTTCACTGTTTGGAACTCATGGGATTTCACCAAGTACCATGGAGAGGGGTTGTCAGTGTGGTCACCATATGGAGTCCCATATCCTATTGGGAAAGGATGTGGGTTTTCCTCTGAGTGAATACCTGAGATGTGGTTAATCGTCAGTTCAAAAAATGAAAAGTACTATCTCAGTGTCTACCTGGACCTGAGAGGGCCTATTGGGCTTCTTGCATGGAGGTCTGCATCATTCATCAATCAATCCCTGAGGTGATGGTACTGCAGCTTGGCCATAGGAGATGCATTATGTGAGCTTATATTTGGTTTTAAAAGATTGATATGGGTCCAGGTATGGTGGTGCACTACTATAATCCCAGAAGCTTGGGAGCCTAATGCAGGAGGATTTCAAGTTCAAAGCCAGCTAGGTAACTTAGTGAGGCCCTTAAGCAACTTAGTAAGACCCTGTCTCAGAATAAAAAATAAACCAGGGCTAGAGATGTGGCTTAGTGGTTAAGTGCCCCTGGGTTTAATCCCTGGTATTAAAAAAAAAAAAGATTGATATAAGTATCTTTTACTTTCTGGAAATTCACATATGAGAATTCTAAGCATAAGGAATTCACAAAATTTAAGCCATGGTGAGCATTCACTCTATACCAGGAAGTAGGGGATGAGAGGAAAGAAAAGTAAGGCCAATCTTACTTACAATTAACTATTCCTATTTTTTCCCCATTCCTTTGCATGTGTTATACATTTGCCAGTCAGTCCTCATCACAATGTTTGGTGATTCTGTCTCCATCACTGTGAAGTCTGTCTTTCCCAGACCTTTTTGCTCCCATCTACTTCCTGCTGCCTCAGCAAGGAACACTTCTTCCTGGAATTCTTATCCAGCTCTTCCAAGATGTAGTCAGTTTAATTCAGCAGATACTTCTAGAGCAATAATTCTGTGCAGTGTCCTATGTGACAAGAACTGTCCCTAACTTGATCCGTATAAGCCCAGTTCTCACCATGGGTCAAGGCACATAGCAGGGGCTCCAGGTATGTCTCATGAGCAAGAAAGGAGTTGGTGTTCTCTTGAGGAGGCAACATGCAGACACACACCAGCGAGTTAAATAGCATGTGGGACAGCATATGGCTGACAGAGTGTGTGGCCCATGTTCAGTGGGAATAAGCTCATGATTGGAAAGGATTGTCATGAGAAGTGCATTTCTCTGGTCTGTCCCATTTGA